TGGGGTGATGATAATAGTCACATATTTCACAAAGTGTGTGCACTTGTCACACAGGTTAGGCAGCCCATGGACATCACTGGCTAGGAGCAGGTGTCCTGGGGTTTCACCTCATTCAAAGAGTGCTGCTTTTGAAAGCCATTCCTATTTAATGCATTTTGGGGTACATTCTGTAGCAATCCAAGCCTGCTTTCTTCTATGCTAAGCATTATTCACAATGTTTCCGTAGGCACCTGTATCTCCTTTGTGCTGTCTAACCTTAATCTTCTAAGTTCCATGCACTCTCTGTGTGCATTCAGATGAGATGCAGGCACAACGAGGGTTTTAAAGTGCCATTTCAGCAAAAATGAGCACAAAGAAAAACAAATCACAAGTAAAGTAAAATCACAGGTAAAACTGAGAAACTGTGTCTTAAACGGGCACGCTACAAAATCTATAAGCACTCTGAATCTATTCTGTGTTTATGACCGTGTATGTGTGTGTCTGCGTGTGTACATGATGAGTTTTAAGATTTAAAGCTATCATTGTTCTCAAGACACGGAGAGATTATAGTGATTTTTTTCCTTCCCCAAAATGTCTACAGGGAGGCATATATTTCTCCAATAACCGTGTGTGTTAGAGAATAGTTGACAAGCACATGCTTTTAAAAGCAAAACGATATGATTGCGAATACTAGATATTTTATGTTCTAAGACTGCAACCTTGAGCAATTCGTTTAATCTTCTGTACTCTAGTTTCCTCATATGAAAAATGAGATGGTCTACACCCTGGGACTGGTAAAAGGATTAAATGATTAATGCATATAACCTATGCAGAACAACACATTTTGATGATTTGAAAGTTTTAAAACAAGTCATTGCTCTGTAAATGGTTGACTCAATGCTTTTAGAAAATCTCTTAAGCATTTGTTTGAAAAGTTTGTCTGTATGTAATGCACATCCTTATGAATTGTTATGTTCTTTTCTATTATTATAATTTGAAAACTGTAATTGCTCTGCTAGAAGTAACACCTGAAACCCAATAACACAGGCAGCCCAATCATGTTAAGTTTGAAAGCTGTGTTCATAATGTATATCCTCGTAGAAAGAGATGTTGCATAAAAATGAAGCATAATAATGGTTGTAATATTCAAAATTAGGTACCGTTTGATTTCTCAGTTTTTATGGGAATTTTTAGGGTTCTGTTTTAGGGTGCCAGAAATACATCTCCCCATTTATTTTCTTCTGAGTCCAAGGCCCTGTGTTTAGGGCCCAGGGCTGAGAAAGATTTTTCTTGTGGGTATCCTTCCAGCTGTGGCTGTTGGCAATTCGTCTTCGTCTCCAAAGACGCCCTCTCCAGCCTGTTCAGGAACAAGTGACCTCAAGAACTAGTGTGAACATTCCCCTTTAATAAATGTCACCTGTTAATTCCAGCCAGGGTTTTCCCCTGGCTAATTTATCTCATTTTCCCTAATTCTCTTGTCTTTAGAGGAAACAGGATTATTTCTGGGTGTTCTAAGTATTTACACGGATGTTCATTTTAGAGACAGGTAGAGTTACAGTGGACCTTTTCCTGTATCCCCATTTCTTTCAACATAATAACGAGAATTTGCAGAGAAAGTGTCACTTTTACTTCCTTAGCATAACCTAGATTTTTTTGAACCAGATGGCCTGGGAGATGGGACATATGAGTACATATTCTGGAAGTTCTGAGAAAGAACAGAAAAAACTGCCTTCATATCTGGCTGCTGGAACTAGCCTGCTAATTAATGGCTAAGTCAAGGTGCGTCTGGCTGCACATAAAAATAATTGAAAGAACTTCCACATCAGGGGAAGGCAGCCCACAGCCAGCATGGGATGAGACAGAAACAAGAACAATATGTAACCACTAAAAATGACCCCAAATCCCCTTCTCTTCCACTGCTTATTTTTACCGAAAAGAATGCTAGTCATGCTCTGGTCCTATGACTTTCTGGCTAAAGGTTATTGACATCCCCATTATCCTGATAGCAACCAATCCAGGAACAAGTTCTTGCTCCTCTTAGCACTTCTAAAACAACCCAGTCTAAGCCCAAACCCTTGACCAGCCCATCTGAACCCCTCTCCAAGGTAGCTCATCGTTCTCCTTGTATGCCCTCCTTCTGTTGAAACAAGTTCCTAAACCCAAACTTGACTTCAGATGCGGTTCCAGGTGGTATGTGATGACTGCACCTAATCAGTTCTGGTACATGCAGCTATAAAATGATGCAATGTTTTTATTGTGTTTTTTTGCTTTCTTACTTATTATCACTGTCTCAATCACCCTTGAAAAGAGGACAGTCATTAATTTCTCAAACAGATTGTTCTACCTCCTTAATGCTTTCCTTGTATCCAGAGCCCTCTTACTCTGATACAAACTACCCTCATGGTTACTTCTAAAGTGGACAGTTCTCCATCCTTTACAACCTAAAAGAGTTGGGGTTAGTTGAGAACCGGCAACATGTGCACCACTTTGAGAGCTCATTGTTAATGCAGACACAGGTTCACCACAACACAATTGAATAAGGATCTTTACTTGAAGCGGACGTCCTACATGTTCCTAAGAACGTGAATTTTTGAGAATTACTGCTAAATGTCCCAACTGCACTCATACACCACTTTGGTGCAATCATTTGGCATCTCCCTGACTTTGGGACAAAGCCCAAACTCCCTTCTTTGCCTTTGGAGGTTTTTTATCAGCCAGTTTCTTTCTGCCTCATATTTCACACCTTTCTAAAAAATACCTTGAATTTTTCACCCAGGATGCAGGAGCATGGTTCCCCAACTTCCTGTCTTCTCACTTCAAAGGTGTGGAATTCTATCCTCCCCACAACACACCACCCACCGTCATTTTTTCCACAGAGTTGGAAAGACCTGGCTTAGGTTTCTTCAGATAGAATATGTTCCCAATCTTCACAGACTAGGTTAAGGGCAGTGTCCAGACATTTATTAGCACCACTTATTAGCATGGGTGCCATCTCCATCTCCAGCACCCCCTGCCTCTCCTTGCTTCTGTGTTTCTCTGCCTTCCCCTTGAGGTTTATGATGTGAGAAGTTTTTTCTTCAATTTTAACACCAGCCCAGCACAGGGCCTGGGACAGTGGAGATATCCAGTAAAGGATTGTTGAATGAATGAATGAATGCATATATTTTTTAGCATTCCTTGAGTTATTCACAATGAACAAGAATGCACAAAATAGTCAAAACAAGAGTGATTCTCCCTTCAGCTGAAATTTGCTAAAAATTAGACTTTGAATGCCTGAAGATGACATTCAATTAAATATGTATAAGTATGTATGTATGTGTGTATATACATGTATGTTTATGTGTTTAATGCAAATGCTGAGATTTAAGTGCATGCATATCTATGAATATATCTATGTAAATTATGTGTATGTATATATGCATGTGTGTCTATGTGTGTGTATATTCAGTAATGGCCCTTTTTCAAAGGGGATGCGTTCAAAACTCAATGGATACCTGAAACCACAGATAGTTCCAAACCCTTTATATACTATGTATTTTATTATATATATACACTTTTGATAAAGTTTATAAATTAGAGGCAGTAAGAGATGAACAATAACTAATAAAATAGAACATTTATGACAATATACTGTCATAAAAGTTATGTGTGGTCTCTTTCAAAATATCTCATTGAACTGTACTCGCATATTTTTAGACCACAGTTGTCCACAGTACCTGAAACTGCAGAATGTGATTCCACAGATAAAGAGAACTAATGTATTTTATATATATGTATACACACACACGCATAGGAATGTATATATGAACACATTGAATGTGTTATAGACGTGTGTGGATATATGAGTGTGTGTGCACATATATATGAGTGTGTGTATATATATATGTTTAATGGAATTGGCATCTTCAGGAATTTAAGTATGTGATGTCTATGCCTACAGTACTCCTAGGCTCTATGGTATAGCCTAGTCCTTCCAGACTACAAACCCATGCAGCACATGACTGGAGAGAAGACCCTAGGCAACTGTAACACAATGATAAGTATTTGTGTATCTAAACGTAGAAAAGGTACAATAAAAACATGGTATTATAATCTCATGAGACTGTCATCATATATGCTATTTGCATTTGTCAAAAATATGCTGTGCATGATTCTATACATAATGCATATATAGGATATGTACATGTATACACATATCTAATGTATACATGTACATATATGTGTGTGTGTATGTATTTCTCCTGTGTGCCTTCACAACATGATTGAGGCAAACAACATCTGAAGAATTTAGGAGTTCACATATGTCAGAGAGTCCCGGTCCTTGCTATGTTTCTTTCTCTGATACTTAGCTAGGATTATCACAACATGCAAGGCCTTGACTTACAAGTGTTTGCCGTGTTAACTTCTTGGTGAAAAGATTTGGGCTATGAGGATATACTATCATGTTATCCATCAAGTTCTCCTGTCTAATAGGGGCTAGTTTCCTCTGAACATCTTCCATTATGAAAGGGGAGCAATGCATGTGCATGTCCCTTAAGGCTATTGTGAAAGTCAAATAAGGTCGTGATGGTTGGACGCACAGGAAGGAATTGACAAATGGGCTCCCATTGGTATGATAGTGATTTTCTGCCTCTTGAGTTTCATTCAGCAGAATTTCTTGCTGTCACTTGAAGGTTTACTCACCTAAGGCTATTTTAAAGTGTTTTGTCAACCACAATTCCAAACACAGTGACACAAGAATGAGCAGGGGTAGAAATAACAACTCCAAACACTCCGTTTCAGGCAGTGTCATCTGAGGCGCTTCATCAAACAGGGCTTGGTTTTCCAAAATCAGGCCAGCAGAGCCTCCCCAACTGTGCAGCCGGCCAAAGCTAAAGAAATCATCCCATTACCAAATGTATTTATCCATTTGTCGCCTATGTCAGCTGCAACACTTAGCTTTTACAAAGAAAAACAACAAAAGTAAATAAAACACGCCACCTACCAAAAAAGAACGGACGCATAATTATTTGCACAAAGCATTAGAAAATACTGTGATATTTTATTATTAAAAATGCTGCTGAAAAGTTTATACATATGTGTCCGGCCATATATATCTTCTAACATTACTTAAGGCAAAATAAAAAACAAAATTGCAAAATAATAACCCAAGGAACCATTAAACCCTGCGTGCCTTTGAAGATCAAGAATAAAAGCCTAGGAAACGATTTTTTTTTCTTATTTTTCTCATTTTTTTTCTTTTTTCTCTTTTTCATAGATAGCAAGTATATTTTTTTCTCATAGAACTCTATGAAGATTCTATAACTTCTTTCCATGTAGAAATAAGATATCATTTAAGATGTACTAAATCACTTTTGATCATAATCCCCTGTAAAAGCTAAAGTTATTCACTTAACAGGAACTCTGTTTTTCCTTATTCAAATGTCACAAGCCTGACGCGTTACTGTACATATTGCTAGCAGGAGACAATTGGAAATACTAAACAAATACTGGAATTCACATTACAGACAGACGAAACCAGCATGGGTGCCACACATCACTTCCTTTGTAGTTTCACGGAGAGCCTATTTGTGGTTGCTCAGGTGGGGTAATACACTGCTTGCAGAAATGGCCTGATCATAGCTCTATGAAACAATGAATTGGGAATGAAATCTTACCATGACACCTCTCTGTAGGAAAGAAATGTTGCTTCACGTGTGCTAAGTTGAGATAATAATATTTCACATATTTATATACAGAGAATCACTCTCAAATTTAACCCAAGATAAGCAATAGGATTTGGGGATGACTTTTATGCATTTCTAAAAACACTTTTCTTTTTTCTAGAGGTCACTCTCAAACACTGATACATCACTATAGTTTGAGTGTAGGGATTCAGTAATCAAAGGCTGTTATTGCAAAAGAGCCAGGCAGCTGGACAATTTTTATGAGGAATGTCCACTTTAGCAGAGAGATTTAAGACTGGATTTCTAGAATAACCCACAATGGAGCCGAGGGACATGATCTTCAAATATCTTTGGCTACTGTTTCTTGGTAATGCAATAATTTTTGAAAGACAAAATATAAAGTAACTGTTGCTACTATGTTTCCTTCCACCTTATAACACTCAAAACTTTCCTGAAAATGAGAAGAGAAATGAGAAAATGACAAGCTATTGGAAAGAAAAATCTCTGATCCCTAGGTCACCAACTTAAAATGGGTGAATAATTTCCATTCAATGTCTTCTCAGTGAAGTTATCCTAATTTCCCAGAAAACCCATGCAAAGCAGTTTTAATGTTCTATCCTTTTCTTCCCCCATTCTTCCATAATATTCATCGTTTGGTGACCAGATATACAAATTCACAAAAAGTGATATTTTCAGACAATCATTTGTTTGATCCCATAAATGATACAAAAAATTTTTAAAAACCTGCTTACTGATAAATAAGGGACCGAGTGCTTAAACAAAAAGGAAAGACACATGTCTTCCTTCAATCTGATTAGCTAAGCTGAGCAGGTACTTCATCGGCCAAACCGTCCCGCAGCTGCTAGGGAACACAGAGCCGTATTTACTCCACAGGGCATAGCCCCACCAAAGGCAAGCTTTCTTCTTTTTTTGGCAGGGCCCTGAAATGGGAAGCAACTCTTCCTAAACATATTCAAAGGGCCAGAGCTACAGAATGGGACTTGTATTTTTGTTTCTCCCTGCTGATTCTCTGTGTGTGCATGTCTCTAATTTAACAAGCTGTAAATACATTCCACTTTGGGGACCCATCTCTGTACTGCAATTTCATGAGGGCTAACACATACGAGTCAAAGTTTTTCAAAACAATGGTCTCCTAAGAATGCTCTTGCATGCACCTGTGCAACCTGACGGGGGAAATAGGCCACACAGACCGTCGGGGTCTTCTGTGGGACATCACATCCTCCTACAAATGAGAATCTCATGTAAGAAAATCCCATGTCTTTGTTTACCACAAGTAATTAAGAAGAAAAGCCTCTTTTGTTGGGGAGGAACAGAGCTGATATGACTAATGTGTATATATATATATTTATATACATACAGAGCACAATGAAAAGCACAACCTTGCTAAAAGCTCTTTCAAACTGAAAACACCAATAAAAGCTTTTTTTCTTGTTTGTCTGTTTGTGGTTTTGTTTAAACTCACAGCTATATACATTTTTAATTTTTACAAAGTTTCTTAAATATAGTTCAGGCTGGCAAAACACCTCTTTGTACAGAACCATACAGATTTCACTGCATAGTCCATTCTTTTATTTTAATAAATTTCTACGTTTCCTTCTCTCTGGATTACAGCTCCATGTGCTGGGCAAAAGCCCACTGACGCTTTCTTCACTTAAGGAGAGCCATCCATTGTGTGGCACAGAAAGAAATGTTTAAATTTCCATTGTAATTAAAAAATATTCAGTGTCCTTGGGTGAGTTTCAGAAGTGTCAGCTGCTTCCATGATGTTAGAAACACCCAGGTCCTTGAAATGGTGATGTCCTATCACACTAAACATCGGTTGGAGTGGTAGAGATCTTAAAGCAGTATTTTAACAGAAATGTGTACCTTTCACATTTCATAGGGTCAGAAGTCGATCTCGTAATACTGGAAAACACCGAGAAGGGTCTGCTGGGATGGGATGACTGCCTTTATGCATTTGTGTCTTAAGTCAGTGGGACAAAAACATTCCTGGTTTGGAGACTTTCTTTCTCTCTCTCTTTATCTCTTCTATGTTGCTGAGCAGGTGGTGCAGAGGGATAGGAGGGGAAATACGGCAAAGCTATACTCTAGTGGTGGAATGTCCGTGGGGTAAATTTGTACTGTTTTGTCCTCCACTGAAGGTGTTAAAAGTGTGCAAAGGCTGCATCCCCGTCAGTGTGTTTGGAATCATGGTGATGGTGTTTGGCGTCATAAGTGGGATGTCATCTGGCGACCGGCGCAGCGTGAGGGTGTAGTCTGGTGGGCAGGTGAGCCTCAGCGTGTCGTGTGCCTGCAGCGACTCACACTCGTGATCATGTTCCAGCTGCTTCATCTGCAGAGACATGATCTCTTCATTCTGGATGTGAGCGATATCATTTGTGGTGTTTCTCTGGGGACTCGGGCGCCTGTGAGTCTCATGGCGCCTCTTGTCCTTTTTGTAGTACAGAGCCGCAAAGGCTAAAATGTTGAGGAAGAGGAGCGATGCCCCAACGGCAATGGTGACACTTAATTCAGTGGAATAATCCCGTTTGGTTTCAATGAGGACAGTTGTGTCCTCGGGCCCCGTTTTGTGAGGGTCCTTAGAGTGTTTGGGATTGTTGGCAGGAGTGATTGCTGGGCGTTTGGTCGTTGGCCATATCTTGGCAGGAGATCGGCGGGTACCATAGGGAAATGATGTCATGTCTGGAGGAGGAACCTTTGTGGTTGTTGAAACATACTGGAATATCTCATTCAAGTTGTGCAAATGAGGAACGAGTTCCAACCAGAAAGCCACTTTCGTTGCCCGGTAGTGATCTCTCACTCTGGGTTTCAAGCCTATATGCAGGTAGAGCTGGTCTTTGGGATTATACTTGGACCAGGCCACTTCTTCAAAGCGGTTGGGTTTTGTGTGAATGAACTTGGTATCCTGAGGAACTGGTTGATTTGGATCACTGGGGTAGAAGGAAGAAAAAAGAGAAAGGTCATACTTTTCCACATGTGACATGAAATTATCTTAAACCAATAAATCAGGAAGTTACAATCTGCTCTTCATATATATTTTTCAATGAGCACAAAATACCCAAGCAGCAAAGGTACATTCTGCTTTAATCCTAGACATGTCTACCATGTTGTCTTTTCCCTTAAAAAATGCTTATTTTTCTTTTAAATATAAACCCTGATAGCAATATTATGGCATTTTTATAACATGTCTACTATTTTTTAAGGCATCAAATGATCTTCAAAAATAAAGGGTAAAAAGGAAAACTAAGTGTCTCTAGGAACAATTTCAGTATTTCAAGTTTCACTCTTTTGAACTGTAAAACTCATCCAGGAGTGATTTGCTCCAAAGGGATATTTGGCAAGGTCTGGAGACATTTTTGGTTTTCGTAGATGAAGGGTTGTTCTATGAAGGGTGGAGGTCAGGGATGCCACTAAACACCCTCTGGTGCACAGGAGAGACCCCCACAGCAAGGAAGTTATCTGGACCCAAATGTTAACAGTACTGAGGTTGAGAAATTCTGATTAAGAAGCTGTTGTTCAAGAAATGGGCATTCTCTTTCTTGCTCAAGAATTTCTTTGGAAGTAAATGAATAAATGTTGCAGTTTTAGCAATGAAAATTGATATTCACAGTCAAAAATTGGTTTTATAATGACAAAATGTTTGTAAACAGGCATATACACCATGTGTTTGCTCTCTATTTGAAAGTAAAATACCTAGTCTTCAAAATACCTTTTGAAGACTAAGTCCGGAAAAAATGAAAGCACGCTATGTTAGCTGTAAGAAGTTTGCTAAAATGGTACATATAGTTATGATGAGGTTAACATGTTTAAGATAAATAAGACACCCGGAAACAAGGTGAGGGCTGTTACAGATGCTAAGCTGCGCTTGGAAACTATGAGCCAAAGAATTATCTTATTATTATTTGCACAAGTGGGCACAGGTAGAAGGAAAATCATAAAAATTTGGAGATAATTCATAAAACATAGGGCCTTTAATAAACATCTTTGCAACCAACTCTCTTAGGATAATACTTCCTCTTCAAAAAACAAATTACCAAATGCTAATTTCTTTTTTAACGGTTTGTAAAGTAAGCTACAAAACAGTTACATCTTAAGGTTTATTTGTTATAAGAAAGATTTGAGATTACGCATGGTAAAATGTTATGTACTAGTTAGTACTGAACATTCAGATGTGATGTGCAGACCCAGGCAAGCAGGGAGCTGCAACATTCTGATCAATGGCTCCAGGTGTGAGCTAAGATCTATCTTCCAGGTAACTTCTCCTTGGCGGGACTTTTGTGACACTGCCTCCAACCATTGCATGGCCTGCATGGCAGAAGGCTGCAGGACCAAGGAAGATCATGTATCTGTAGCCATTACCAGACATTGTGCAGGATCCAAACAATATACTTGACTCAGAGGTGACACATTTGCTAAAGAAAGATTTTATCCCCTCAGTCTGAGTCTGTGGTGATGATAAATCATTTCCCTGTATTCAACTTTCTGCAGCTCTGGCTAGTTAACAGCTGTGAAAACTTGAGCAAGTTTTCCAGCCAGTATTGGCCTTAACTTCTCTACATGGTGGATGAGAATATCAGGGTTGGAGGGAAGTGATGAAGGTTGAAAGATAATGACAAAATGTCTGGCATATGGTAAGAATTCAGGAAATATTATCCCCTCTCTTTCAAAATAAAAATTAGAACACCTACAATATTGCAAGGGAGGGAGAACTAGGGAGTGATATACTGTGTATCAGAGTACATACTGTATTTCTATATTGCATACATTGTAGAGTGTATAAAAGTATATTGTATATTACATACTATATACAAGGATACTGTATACCACAGTTTATACTGTATACTAACTGTATACTATATGCAATATATATATGTGTGTATATTATGTGGGTATATATGTGTATGTGTATATCTATCTATAGATATAGATATAACATGTATAATGTAATACAGAAGCAAAAGAAAGTTGACCTCTACCTTTTAGTTGAATGCACACTAACTGCTGTGTTTTCACTTTACTAAGAGGGTGAAAACAAATATATATAATCTGACAGGTTCTAATACCATGAGTTTTCTTATTTACTGATAAACAATATATTTGCAAAGTCTTCTGCTTTTTTATTAATTATACATATATTCTTATATGGTTTTGAAAAAATGTTGGATTCAATGCAACATCTCATGTTTCTTGTGCTTCTTTAAGCTTTCTGAAATAATTTTAAAATTTTCAGTTATTTAATGTGTGTTAAAAGAAAAATAAGTGAATAAATATTTTAGGAAAAAAATCCACTAATATTAGTTATTGATTTTTAATATTCTAAAGAAACAAATGGAAGTGAAGATTCCTCTTTTTTTTCCATGGATCCAATTTTACTGAATTGGGTCTATTAGATGTGTGGCTGTGTCATCTATTATGCAGTGAGCATCTAGGAGATGGAGTATTCTGTTCATTTTGGGTACTAGGCTATTTTTGAAGGAACTCAGGGTATATTTGAAAGGTAAAGAAAACACATTTAATTTGTTCTTGAAGAATAAAGCAGAGGATTTGGAAAATCCACAAAAGTGAGCTGCCGCCTGATACGGTCTGTCTATTAAAGATCTCAGAGATGCACAGCCAGAATTCTTAAACCCAGATACACTTGTGGAGATTATGATAGCCCAAGTCATTCTCCCTTACCAAACCCTCCAGACAGTGAGACCTAGATGTGGGGTATCAGTGTTTTGTTTTTTAGATTTTATTCAGCGTAAGAACTGTTTAAACTCCTGTGAGTAAAATTAAAGACTGTAATGACTGAGGATAGAAACACAAGTTGGTCTCTCCAGTAAAAGACTCAATGCATGGCTCTCTCCTTATCCCCCAGCACCTAACACGGCCATTTCCCCCTGCCCTGTTTTATTTGAGATGTAATCTTGGCAGCAGAGACTCAAGTGCATTTCTAAGGTCTAGTTCATTTCTTTAGCTAGAGATGGATATAGTACTATGATCTCTCTAAAAATGTCTGTGAATCCTCTCAGCTGTTCCTTTAAGTAGCACAGGTTTTCCTTATACCCAAAACATTGTTTGCAGTTAACGATCTGTTACCAAACTAGTTTATTATGCATTCAGTGACTCCTCTGCCACACCAGGTGGGGATGTTCATTCATTCAGCTTAAAATCCCTTTTTGGTAATAAAGGTTGCCTTTTCAGCCAGAATTATGCTGCAACTCTGTAACCCATCCCCACTAAATACTTCATTGTAACTTCTTTCTTTCCCAAAGATTTAACAATAGTTGAATATAAATTAATCATAGGATACCAGCACATTCAAAAGCAGTGATGGCATCTGATGCAAACAGGATAGAAATCAATCTGCCGTACAAACCCCAGATTTGATGGAACAACATAAAAAAATCAAAATACGTGTTGACCTGATTTTCCATTACAAAACTCTCTTCTCATTTCTGACTTCCAATAGCACATAAGGTCTTCTACTATATTATTATAATTTGATTACTTTAAAGCACTGTTCTTTGTCATACCTTATAAATAAACCAAGATTCCCCTACTCCTTTTTGTCCATCTCTTTCCACACAGACCTCAAAATGAAAGAATCCTGGATCAATGAGCACCTAAATTTTGTTGATCAGCTTGGACAAACCCCTTTTCTCCTATTCCCAAAGTAATTTTACAGGAAAAGGACTTGAATGCTCTAGAACCCTTTTCAAACTTTAGAGTTAGTTTTCACTTTTCCTTGACGCTGCTCAGAGTCAAGGAAAGATGCACTTTTACAAAAATGGTCTCAATCTACCTTGTTTCTACAACGCCTCCGCATGTTTGAGCTTACACGGTTCTCTTGCAGCATGATTTTAGTCCTCTGACCTGGACTAACATTGCAACTCCTCCTTGCTACAGGGGAGAAACCCGCTCAGGCACAGGCCTGGGCAACTGCTTCCCTACTCAAAACAATAAAAAAAAAGAAATAGCAAGGATTACTTGAGGCCCTGGCATTCACTGATTTCAATATCCTGTCTTGATCAAGGTTTTCATAATTTAGAGCCTCGGGAGGGACTTCCTCCTCATTTCTACTCTGGGTACTCGCTGCCTCCGCCTTTCCAAGATGGGAGAGCCCTCTCTCACCTAATGCTACCGTGAAAGTATGCAGCTGACATGATCTATAAGCAAGGATCCAATTGTCCCTCCCTTCCTCCTTCTTTCCTTCCTCCCCTCCTCCCTTCCCTCATTTCTCTTTCTTACCCTCCTTTTTCCCTGTTTTCCTTCTTTCCCTCCCTCCCTCCCTTCTTCCTCTCCTCCCCCATCCCCTTTTTACTTTTTCCTCCCTCTTCCTTCCTTCCTTGCTTCCTTTCTTCTTTTTCTCTCCCTCCATTTTTCCTTCCCTCCCTCGCTACTCTTTCTTTCCTTCATCTCTTCTTTCTCCCTCCTCCCTTCCTCTCTTGCCTCTTTTCTTTCTTTCCTTTCCTTCCTTCCCTCTTTTCTTCCTTCCTCCCTTCCTTCCTTTCACCTTCCCTCCCTCCTTCCTTCCCTTCTTCTTTCCTTCCTCTCCTCCTCCCTTCCCTCTTTCTTTCCCTCCTTCCTCCCTTCCTTCACTCCTTTCTTGATTCCCTCCCTTCCTACTTTCTTCTCTTCTTCCCTCCCTCCCTCCTTCCCTCCCTTCCTTTCTTTGTCCCAACTCTCTTTCCTTCATTTCCTCCCTCCTCCCTTCCTTTCTTTTCTCTGCCATTAACATCCCAACATAGTTTTTCTGTGCCCATCCCAAATCCAAAGGTTTATGTATACCAGGTATACGTGCCTTCAAACCTAGACTAAAGGTCAGAACCATCTGCTTTGAGATGTCTGCATAGAAGCATCCAGACACCATCCTCCTCATCTCGGCAAACACGTGCGCCATCGGGAGACTGTGCTGTGCCTGCAGGTTTAGCACGCCTGACATAACGCCCACTGAGAGTGGTGAAGCATGTCCTGGCACAGTGCGATCCTCTCTCCACGGCACCGTGTAGTGACAGACACGCTGGGAGCTATTCTTGTTTCCTCCTGTCACCTCCAGTGCTGGAAGGGAACAGTGATGGTATGCAGAAATATGCCCTCCTGTTCTGTGAGTCATCGTCTGAGTGTGTGCTCTGCAGAACAGCGTTAAACTTGGCAGCTCACAGGATGACAACAGATAAGGTGCATCCCATACTTTCTCCTTATGGGCATCAGGTTGGTTCGTTCTCTGCACCTGGTGACCAGGGAATCCTTCTCTGCCCTGGAGTGATCGGGCCACCACCCAATTTACAATAAACAAATAACTAGCAACTGCAACTGAGGTCCTTGTCATCCACTGACGAATACCTAGCTCACCAGACTGTGCCTGACGGTGATATTCCCCATTTCCTTCTTTTATGGAGCTGCCATGGAGGTGTGATCACTTAATCTATTTGTATTTGAATCCACACGTTGCATTTCACATGGGATGTAAGTTCTGAGTAACTTCCTTGAGGAATCATTTGAGTCATTCTAATACCTTTCCAATGAATTAAAAGAGCTCACTGCATTAATACACTCAGTGTTATTTCAGGGATGTTTCCCATGGGCGGAAGAAACAAAAATAGAGGCTTCAGACGGACTGACATTCGAGCTCTGGGTACCTCAATGAACTCTCTCTACCACCAGCTTTTGATTTCAGTAGCATCAGAGTGTTTCTCCAAGTTCCAGCAGTAATTCCTTCCTCATCTCTTCCAGTCATGTCAGGGCCTTCATGAAAGCGAGACGAACCCTCAACACAGACCATGAATGGCAACATGAATGTATTCCCTAAATGCAGGGGGGAAACCACAGGCTCTAAGCCAAGTGGTTTTAAGAAACAGATTCATGGCATGAAAAAGCACTCAATAACAGAGAGAGCACTGTGGTATTCTCACGGCTCTCTGAGACCTTCATGATGTCTTGGTAAAAGCATCCATTTGGTGCCAGCAGTGATAACGATCACCTCATGGAACTAATTAACTTCCTTTATCTTTTTCTGTCTTTTTTCCTTTTTTTTAATAATGAGAGAGCCAGTCTCAGTCTCACAGCCCTTGGGAGTCAGGAAGAGCTAATGAGAATTTAACAGCATTATTTAGATTTCACTATTGCTTTAATGGTTCTATAAAATGTATGAGGAATGATTCTAGCTTTCCACTTAAGATAATCATATAAAGTTTATTTTCAAATCATGTAAGAAGGAAAAGAAAAAGCATATGGTTTTAATGAAAGTAAGTAAAGAGAGTCTTTACAGACCAAGTCAGTAATACCTTTAGATGCCAATGTAGTGAAGATTGAATGAGTATAGCCATGTTGATGGAAGTCTTTAGGCTTCAAGAAGATGAAATTCTCTGCAAGGGCAGACACCACTTATCTTAGTGCTGTCACAAAAGAGGGCCTGGCCCTGGCTTCACAAGGTATTAGAGATTGAATACTGTCTCCCCGTAAAGTAAGATACGTTGAAGTCCTAACCCCAGTACCTCAGTATGTGAGCTTATTTGGAAATAGGGTAACTGCAGATATGACTATTTATGTTAAGATGAGGTCATACCGGAGTAGGGTGAGCTTCTAATGCGACTTGGCAGATGCTCTTATAGGAAGACAGCCATGTGGAGACAGAGACACACAGGAAGGCCGTAAGATGACAAACACACAGAGTGGGGTGGTGCAGCTGCAAGGCAGGAATGCCACAGTCTGCACCTAAACACGAGTAACTAAGAAGCAGCAAAGAAATACCTTCCTATAGCTTTTGGAGGGAACTTGGCCCTGCAAGCACCTTCATTTGCAACTTCTGGCCTTAGGAAGTGTAAACCGATACATTTCTGTTGTTATAAGACACACACTTTTTGGGCTTTTTTTTTTTTTTTTTTTTTTAAAGACAAAGGTTTCGTTCTGTCACCCAGGTTGGAGTGCAGTGGTGCAAACATGGCCCACTGCAGCCTCGACCTCCTGTGCTCAAGTGATCCCTCTGCCTCAGCGTCCTGAGAAGCGGAGACTCTCGGCCTATGCTACCATGCCCAGCTAAATTTTTTCATTTGTTTTGTAGAGATGGACTCTCACTAGGTTGCCCAGGCTGGTCTTAAACTCGTGGCTTCCTCAGGCGATCCTCCTGCCTTGGCCTCCTAAAGTACTGGGGTCACAGGCATGAGCCACTGCACCCAGCACAGACATACAGTTTTTGATACTCTGATAACAGCAGCCCTAACAGACTAATAAACAAGGTTTACTTTAAAAAAAAAAAAAAGTATAATTTGATTTCAACAATTTATTCACACAAGAAAGAACCTTTCAGTGATAGACAAGCATTTCCATCAAATGTGGGTCCCTCCTCCCTTCTCCTCCAGGTAGCCTTTCTCAGACCAAATCTACAAAGCCTGATTATTGAAAGTTGGTGTCCAGGTGATACCTTTTCCACTACAAAAACATGCTGTACTTTTGCCAAGAGCACAAAACGTTCTTAAACCACTCCCCACCCAAACCACTTTGGAATCTTTGTACAGTATGCCAGCTGCTAAACACGTAGGCATTGAAACCACCAGCATTCCCAGATCTTCTAAGGATTACTGTGCATAACTCATGTGTGGCAGGGCCACTGCAGTCTCAGAGCCTCATTCCGCATGGGAAGATTTACCCTCCCTGGGCGACAGGCACATCTCTCTCTCTCTCTCATTCAGTGTAAAGAGGCTCAGGGTGACGATGGAGGCACACACTGGTAGAACAGAATGACACCCCATCCATTTCCATAGTTACATTATTAGACAAGAGAAAATGAAAAGATGCCACAATGTCTGGAGCTACTTAGGATGTTTTGGGTTCTTTTCTCCCATGGTTTGCAGAGAATCCACTCAGCAGAATATTGACAGACTTGGTTGTATATGTGCTTTTTGTATATTTTATATTTTCTACTATATTTAGGCCAATAAATGAGCTTTCCTGTGAGATACACATATATGTGTGTTTGTGTGTGTGTGTTTATATATGCAAGCCATATAGCAATATGATACAAATATCATATATTTTATTTGCTCTATCTCTATAGCTATTTATATAGCAAAGAAAATACAAATATATATTTGTGTATGTATATACATATTTGTATTTGTATATATAGTATATATATTTGTATTTGTATATATAGTATACTATATATTGTATTTGTATATATAGTGTATTTATTTGTATTTGTACATACAAATATATTTGTGTGTGTATATATACAAATACAAATATATATGTACTATATATTATACATATGGGAATATCTATATTTTTATAAAGACATTAAATATATATAGGAATATATATTTATATTTCTGTATAATTATTATGATATGTGTTTTCATTCCTATGGCCAGGCAATCAACACAATTCCCCAAGTGGTGCATGTGCTGTGATACCCTCACAAATTAACAAAAGAGATATGGTTGAAATTAGACTTAAAACTCTGTAATCAGGGCTGGCGTGGTGGCTCACACCTGTAATCTCAGCACTTTGGGAGGCGGAGGTGGGAAGATCGCTTTAGCCCAAGAGTTTGAGACCAGCTCGCGTGACACAGCAAAACCCTGTCTCTAACAAAACAAATTAGCTGAGTAAGTTGGTGTGCACCTGCAGTCCCAACTATTCAGAAGGTTGATGTGGGAGGATCCCTTGAGCCCAGGAGTTTGAGAGAAGCCTGGGCAACATAGCAAACCCTGTCTACAAAAGTCCATGCAAAGGCATGGAGGTGCACGCCTGTAGTCCCAGCTACTCAAGAGGCTGAGATGATGAGAGGATCACATGAACCCATGAGTTTGGGGCTTCAGTGAGCTATGATTGTGCCAGTACACTTCAGCCTAGGCAACAGAGTGAGACCCTGTTTCTATCAAAAAAAAAACAAAAACAAAAACAAAAAAACAACAACTAAAAATTAGCCAGGCATGGTGGCAGGCACCTGTAGTCCCAGCTACTCAGGAGGCTGAGGCAGGAGGTTGGCTTGAGCCTAGGAGTTCAAGGCTGTAGTGAGCTATTGTTGTACCACTGCACTCCAGCGTGGGCAACAGAGTGAGACTGTGTCTCTAAAACAACAAGAACAAAAACAAAAACAAAACCGTTTAATCAGCTATTAACAGAACCGTCATATATGTATGAGTCCTGCACCTGCAGGTAGGAACTCTAGAATTCCCAATGGGCAGTTAGAACTCTAGTAAAAATCTGGTTTGACAGTTGTTTTACTCCTATAACACTTTAGGAGTAAAGAAAAAAATGAGTTCCATAGATGTTGTGGGAGAAGCTGCCTGTTACTGCGTGTGTAAGCGTGTATCTGTGTGTATATGTGTGCACGCATGTGTATGTGTACGCACGTGTGCTCCTGCAAGTGGCAGTAGAAGCAATACCTATATTGAGGACCCAAACAAGTGACGAGGATAGCGATACCCCAGGACGAAGAAGAACGTACCCAGTTTTGGCGAAGTTCGTCCAGTAGGTCATGACCACGGCGCTGAGCATGACGTCGTTCTTGGAGAAATTACAACTGAAGAGCTCGGTGGGACCGACCATGGGGATGCCGAAGACGTAGGGGACCTCATCGCCATGGGCCGAATCCGCCCAGCTGGGCTTCATTTCGCTTTGGCAGTGATGATAGAAGGCATAGAAGTAGGTGGGGGAGCCGTACTGCGCGTGCAGGTCGGCGGTGGCCACGGCGGGGGCCACCCACTGGTGGTCAGTGAAGAGAGCCACCAGCGTTTTCCGCCGCGTCTCCGGGTTTTCCTTATCGGCCCAGTCTGTGTACATGAACTTGATAGTCTCGCGCAAAGTGTCTTTCCCTTCAGGATAGCCGTAAAGGTTGTCCACAAAGTTGGACACGGAGAAGTCAAAGTCATTGGGCGTCACACCGTCCTCGTTATCCACGATGCCGTCCACGAACTTCAAGCCTTCCCCTTGGTTGACGCCCAGCATGATGTCATAGTTGAGGAACTCGCCTTGCTCCATCAGGATCTGGGGGTCGTCTGGGATGACGTCGCCGTCAATCACGGGCCCGAAGGCTATGTGGTAGGTGGCTGGGGTGATGGTCTGCTGGATGAGCTCCTTGTAGTTCTTGTTCCGCAGGCATTCTACCATGTCCGTGGTGTCCAGCATGTTGCAGCCGACCTTGTCTGCCAATATCCGAGTGTACTTGGCCGGCTGGTAGTTCACTGCCCAGCTGGACAGGGCGGTGCCGCTCTGAATGATGGCCTTCTGGAAGAGACCTGCAGGTGCAAAATTGTGGACATGCAAATGAAAACCCGCAGGACAGAAACGCAGCTTTTACTGAGCAATGAAGGCTGTGATTGTCTCTCAGGCATGTGAATTTCTGGACGTAGTAGCATTCAACTCTGTCAGAGGACCTTTTACCCATTTTCATTTCAATTTCCCCTTCCCCCCTCCTCCTGAACATTCATTTTAGGCAATGTTATTCTACACACACAGACACACACACACACACACACACACACACACGAGTTTAAGGAAATGAAACCACATTTACACTTTTCCTGCACTGGTAAAATACATGTGATTTCTTTTTCCTTCCACGATCCAGTGTCGTTTTTACTTCCTTGCCTCCAGATGCCATATATAAAAACTCCAACAGCAACTGCATTCCCCATTTCCAAGAAAAAAAAAAAAATGCTTTAAGCTAGTAAAAGGTCAAAGGCCCTCTTGTCTCACAAGCGAAACTAGGTATCTCTTCATTATGGGAAAAAAAATAAATCCACTTGAATCAACTTCAGAGTATTAATTCAGGAATGCATTTGTACTTATACCTTGAGTCTAATGAAGATATTAAGATCTGGCAATTAAAATAAATACATTGAGTTAGCTATGCTTAAAGAAATCCTCAGCTGGGTGCCTAAATGAGTGTTTTTTGCAGTCACTTCTTTCAAAACTACATCCATTGGAAACCCAGAGATGCGTAGATTTTATTTTGCCACATATAAAAAATGCTTTGCTTGGTGAGAAACTTGAAAAAGCATGGGTAATTTTAGGAGTAAAATTCTGTGTAGCTTAAAATTCTCTATGAGTTCAGTCTACTACATGGATGTCCAGAAGTATAAAATCTGTATTTTTAACCACGACAGGACAAGAGAGGCGGGCTGTAAAAATCAGCATTCCATTTATGATCGCTTCCCGCCGTTTCCGTGGATCCCAGCCCGAGTCGGGCACTAAAGAATAAGGCATTCAGCTGTGAGTCCAGAAGTTCATGCCCTGTCGATTTTTAAGGTCACAGAAGCAATCAAATATGAGGAAAATATGATAGTCATCAGGAAGATGTGATTTTAAAGATTGGAGGATTGCCCAAAGATGACACACAGGACTGCAACTTGAAACCAATACGGCTTTGACCAAAATGTCATCAAAGCCATCTTGGGAACGTTTCTGTCAGAAATGTGCAAGTATTGACTTGAATGCTTGGCTCTGAAGATGATTTTAAAATGTCCAAACAAAAAAACAAAAACAAACAAACAAAAAAAACAAAAAAAGTCAATATGTATTCAGTTGGATACTTTCAGTAGTTAAAACATTCAGAATTGGAAAAAATGCCGTGAGAAGTTCCTTTCCTGCCTTTCTCGTAACTACTGGCAGTAATTTAGGCAGTAGTGTATATATAAGTAACATACATAAAACATTTATTTGTATGTTAGGGAAGCAGTATAACTCCTGATAAGACTAAAATAGTTGGATAATGAAAAAAAAAACCCGTAATTCATACTTTAAAACACAACTCACCTTAGCATAATGAGTATGCTAGGAGTTCACTTAATTCTTAGCTCTTTCCCCCCATTCAAATGTCTGTTTTGCATAGCTGAGCCCAATATTTATATAGCTATCTACACTGTGTTTTTCCAGCTGATGTAGATCTCAGGTAAATTCTTAAATTATTATTATTTTGAGTAAATACATATGGTTCATTATAATTTTCTTCTCCTTTTGATCTTGTAGCTTTTCATTTCATTCTTTGCTATGATACTAATACTGGGGTGAATATCTTCATAAAACTATCACTTTCCACGAGTACTTTGTCTTCATTGGACCACATAACCAGCAAGGAATTCCTCAGGCAAACAGTCTGGGTATTTTTATTTTTATTTCACACAGGGTATCACTCTGCTACCCAGGCTGGAGTGCAGTGGCAGGATCTCGGCTCGCTGCAGCCTCTGCCTTCCAGGATCAAATGATCCTTCCACCTCAGCTTCCCAAGTAGCTGGGACTATAGATGTGTCACTTTTTTGTAGAGACAGGGTTTCGCCATGCTGCCCAGGCTGGTCTTGAACTCCTGGACTCAAGCAATCCGCCCACCTCGGCCTCCCAAATTGCTGGGATGATAGGCAAGAGCCTGGCTTGCATTTTTCATAATTCTTGATTATATTGATGGGCTGTTTAGAAGCATGCCGTGCAGAAATGACTGATGCAAAGGTATAATAATTTCCAACCTATTGACTTAAATAATTAACACCTCCCTCCAATTAATGTGGCTTACATGTGTTTGATTACTCCTAAAGTTGGTTCTGACTGCTTTCTAAATCTACAATTGTGATTGTATCAATTGAGAAAAGTGAAAATCTAGGTATTTTCAAAAATGCCATATAAATCTCTCTACCAAAGGGTTCATCAGATTCTTCACTTTTCCTGTTTTTGAAATAAAGTTCATACAAACATGAGCCTTTCCTCTCATTAGCACTACTAGGAGGTCAAAGGCCATTTGCTGTCACGGGCAAAGCATTATGAACTAAAAACTCAAGGAATTTAGAGTTTGGAGGATTTTAGGAAACCCTCATCTGTCCTATCTTGGAAATTAAGACACTGAGGAGCATAGTGATCCAGAAACTTGTCCAGATGGTGCTGGAAGTGAAGAAAGTCCTGCAGTTACTCTAAAGAAACATGCTTTTTAATTGTATTTATGTATGTATGTATATATGTATGTATGTATGTATGTTGGGACAGGATCTCACTCTGTCACCCAGACTGAAGTGGAACCTCACAGTTCACTGCAGCCTCAACATCCCTGGCTCAAGCGATCCTCCCACCTCAGCCTCCCAAGTAACTGGGACCACAAGCAAGTGCCACCAGGCCCAGCTGGTTTTTATTTTTATTTTTGTACAAAAGGGGTCTTGCTATGTTGACCACGCTGGTCTTAAACTCCTGAGCTCAAGCCATCCTCTCCCCTCAGCCTCCCAAAGTGCTGGGATAACAGCCATGAGCCACAATATCCAGCTGGTAACTTTAAAAATAATAATTCCAGAGGTCAAGGTGGGTGGACCACTTGAGGTCAGGAAGTTCAAGACTGGCCTGGCCAACATGGTGAAAGTCCATCTCTACTAAAAATACAAAAATTAGCCAGGCACAGTGGTGGGCACCTGTAATCCCAGCAACTCGGGAGGCTGAGGCAGGAGAATCGTTTTGAATCCAGAAGGTGGATGTTGCGGTGAGCCAAGATTGTGCCACTGCACTCCTGCCTAGGAGACAGAGTGAGACTCCCTGAAAATAAAAAAAAAATTCCATGAAGGTTTTGAGAACTTCAGGTTCAGTCAGTGTGGTGCCATTCTGAAGACCACTGACGATACAGAACAAATTACAAAGCTGTCTTGATGACTGAGATGGCTATTAGGGATATTCATTTGCACGTGGCCTGGTAACCCAGGGCTGGATCTGCTCTGCAGATTTTCCTGCTTCTTCCTTTTAGGCCACAGCCAAGAATTTGTGATCCTGTTTCCAGAACCAATTGCCTCAAATTCCTGTGGACTCCCCTTTGAAGTCTCCCATCAGATACTGCAGGGGGCCTCCTTCACAAAGGGACAGCAGGGAATCCACTGAGTGAGCCTCCGGGGAAAGCCTCAGTCACTCCTGCAGCGCTCGGGGGGTGGCTGCCTATGCTGACCATTACTTAGGCAGCATAACCATCTGCCTAAGTGATTACTCCTGATCTTGAACTCCTGGACTCAAGCAATCCGCCCACCTCGGTCTCCCAAATTGCACATCTGGTTGGGTACGGCTGCCTATGCTGACTACCTGTCCAAGTGCACGTCTGGTTGAGGTAACATGATGCACATGTGTTTTTGCGGTTTCCTCTTTCTCTGCTTTGCCAACATCAGCTTTTTCCAGGGTAACACCAGGGCCCCAGGGAGGGTTTGGAGCTCCCACGGGGATAAGCAGAGGACCTCAGGCTGACTGACCCAGCAAGGAGGTCCTTCCTAAAAGTCATATTTGCAGGAGAGAGAGGAAGGGAGAGGGGAAAGCAAACCGTGGACACCTCCTAGCGCTGCATGCTGACCTGACCAGGAAGGAGGTCCTTTGCTGAAAGCCGTATTTGCAGGAGAGGAGAAAAGGGAGGGAGAGAGAGAGAAAGAAACAAAGAGAGGGACAGAGGGAGAGGGGAGAAAGGGAGAGAGGAAAGGAGATAGTGAGGAAGAGAGTGGGGAGACAGAAGGAGAGAGAGGAAGGGGGGGAAGGGAGAGAGAGGAGGGGGGACAGTGTGAGGGAGAGAGAGAGAGAGGGAGGGGGGAGAGACAGTAGAAGGAGGCGAAAGAGAGAGAGAGTGAGAGACAGAGCAAAAGAGAGAGAGGGAGTGGGCGAGAGGGAGAGGGAGGAGGATGTAGAGAGGGAGAGAGACAGAGAGGATGAGAGAGGGAGAGAGAAGAGTGGGAGGGGAAGAGCAAGAAGAGATGGAGGGAGACAGTCAGGGAGAGAGACACTATTCCTCTGGGTAGAATCTACTTCTAAATGAATGCACCAGACACGTTTCAATATTTCCAGAAGATTTAAAGAATTAATATGAATTAGAGAAGTGACTTCTTAAAAAACATGTGGCTAAAAGCCCTGATGGTTACAAAATCTATATACCCGCATCCCTTATCCACATACTGTCTCTTCCATATCACTCTTACTAAGTTGTAGCTAGAAGTTAATAAAATTTCAAATAGTCAAATACAGTCAGAATGGCAAAAGAAACAAAAGTGTCGGGACTTCTAAAGTAGTTATTTTGTTCCAATCATTGTAACCAACACCTAATTGTCACACATTTAAATTAGGAGAAAACTATTGCTGACCAAGCACGGTGGCTCACATCTGTCATCCCAGCACTTTGAGAGGCCAAGGCAGGAGGATTGCTTGAGCCCACGAGTTTGAGACCAGCCCAGGAAAACACAGCAAGACCACTTCTCTATAAAAAATTAAAAAAATCAGCCAGTAGTCCCAGGTATTCAGGAGACTGAGATGGGGGAAGTCTTAAGCCCAGGAGTTGGAGGCTGCAATGAGCTATGATCGTGCCACTGCACTCCAGCCTGGGTGACAGAGCAAATGGAACAAAAGCTGACTTAAAAGACATGAAGATGGATTCATCTGATCTTTTGGGCATTTTCTGTTGCCAGAGTGACTTCTAGCAACCCGGACATGCATCTGAGGTATGAACTCTGACCATTCATTTCTTGGTTCAGTGCATTAGACTGTCCGCCCTGGGGGCACCATTATTACCTTCTGAGTAGTGGGACAGGGTCAACAGGCTGACACAGGAGGCCCCGGCCCCCGAGCCAAAGATGGTCACTCGCTTGGGGTCCCCGCCAAAGGCTCCCACATTCTCCTCAATCCACCTCAGTGCTTGAATCTGATCCAGGAGCCCATAGTTGCCTTTTGCTGCCTGGTCACCGGTACTTAAAAACCCTACAAAAGAACACAAGACATTTTTGGTGGTCAAATATAAAAAGTGCATACACATCTCTGCTATTTGAAAAGATATCTCATAGCTTGTCTTCTTCATTCTCTCTCTCCTCAACCCTCACCCCCACAAATTAGAGGAAGAAGAGGAGAAAAAAATGTTGTGGCAGAAATAATTATATAAATAATGGTTACTGTTTAGGTTGATGTTATGATACCATGGCATCTTTGGGTATGCATGTGGCTAATATAGAAGGCAAAATGAATCTAAAATATTAATAACATGAAGCGATCCCAGAAGACGTCGTAAATTTTACTAGGTTCAAGGCATCATTTCTGTGCACATTTTCATTTTCTTTTTTGAAAAATGCAACAGACTCCTACAAGAAAGTTTTCAGGGAAAACAGTACGTGTGTGTGGGGTGGGATGGGGGGGCAGTGGGTGTAAGTGCACATGTGTGTCTGTCTAAGAATATGTCCTTGTATATAAAGGCAGTGTGCGCCTGTTTTTCTCACTGAATTAGTTATTAACATTTTGTTTTAACTCCTTTTAACGCTTAAGAAACAAAGTAAGTTACAGACTCCACTAGATCCCACTCACAAATAGTATGCCCCTCTATTTTCCTACATAGCAAAAATATGAGTTACATACAAAAAAAATGTAATTATTGAACCTCACCCAAAAGCTAATGAATATTCACATCTCCCCAACTGTTCCCAAAATATCAGTAGCTGGCCCTCCTTATTTTAAAAGGAAGGATTCTGTGAGTTGAGGATCTAGATTTTACTCAAGGCATACAATTCTTAATTTCTCCTTAGTAGATGAAAAATGGCAATTTTGGTATTAATGATAGCAAAGTTACGAGTTAATCTGTTTTACTGTTTGTTCCTTTCGCATTGAAAAAATAGCTTGACTTGGAAAAACTGTTTTCCTCTGATGTTTTGGAGTCATGTTTCAGAAGACATACACTCTCCTACTCAGATTCAAAACTAGGAATATTTTCTAAAGCATCCTGCAAGTTTAATTCATTGCATAAACTTTAACCCAACTTTATGTCCAAATCTGTACTAGATATGCCTTCCAAAAAGACAAAGAATTTTAAAAAGGTTTTTTTTTAACCATTTCGCGTCCTTATTTGAGCCTTCCCCAAATACCCAACTATGATATTTGCCCCTTCTATACAATTTCTTTTTTCCAAGAGCTATGCCATTCACTCATTTCAAGGGATGCTTAGTACACAATTATGGCCACCTGCAGTCATGTTTGCATGAAGACAGGCTGCTTTAAGCCCTAAAATAACATCAAATCAATTCCTCCAAAGCACATCCCTAACCAAAGTTGATGGCATTCCAAGGAGTGACTGAGTGCTGGTTTCTACTTTTAAAACAAAAAGTAGAGGATGAGGCTGCATACCAATTGAGTCAACCAGCTTTTATTCCATGAGCTTTCCTGAGCACCGGTGGAAAAATGCTCTGAGCTGGAAAGGAGGAAATGGCCTGGTTCCAAAGAAAGTCACAGGATGATTTTCGTTCAACAATGACAATAAAAATTCCAAGCCTGAATCAGGAGTCACTATCTCCTGCAGCTTCAAAGAGAGGCAGTGTTGCAACTGCGAGGTTGGATACTTAAGACACATCCTGCCAATGCGATCTTCTTTAAAGTTCAGAAGAGGGATGTGACGTGAGATTAGCTACGATTAGTGGGTACGTTCAGACATTACCCAAGTCTCCTCCCCATTTAATTAGCAATTACTAATTAGTGCTTCATGCCCAAAATGTTCTGTGACACCTGTCTCCATCCCTACATCTTTGACACGGTCGTCCATAAAAAGCATCAGGCTTTGCTTGGGAGAAAAGATCCTTTCATGCAGGGTACATAAGACAATGACGAATCATGTCAGTCTGGGTGCCCCATAATACCATAGGGCAATGCTTTCTTCCTCTATCAAAGAAAGAGGTGATGAATTCCTAAGGCACAAGCAATTTCCTAACAGAACAATTCTGTCTTCAGCACGTCTTTTCTTCACTCACTGTTCTCTCTTTCTCAATTCTGCAGAATGACCTGTTGGCTTATTTTGTTTCTGTGAACTGAACAATGAGATCACTTGGACTCGGGGAGGGGAACATCACACACCGGGGCCTATCATGGGGAGGGGGGAGGGGGGAGGGGGGAGGGATTGCATTGGGAGTTATACCTGATGTAAATGACGAGTTGATGGGTGCAGCACACCAACATGGCACAAGTATACATATGTAACAAACCTGCACGTTGTGCACATGTACCCTACAACTTAAAGTATAATAATAATAAATAAATTAAAAAAAAATAAAAAAAAAAAAGAAAAATGCTAATAGCATGTTGTGTTTACAGTGCCTTTAATCCAAAACACAACATCTTCATTGTTGAAGCATGGTGATTCATGTGCTTTTGTATACAAAAAAAGGCATGTCAAACAAGATCACATATGGTATTTTTTTTATATATATATATATATATATATGACATGTATATGTCTAAAATGATTCCAAAGAATAGCATAGGCTTATTTCATTATCATTGCAACAGTCTCAAGGTTGCCACATTTGACAGACAAAGTCAGAAAGAGTTAAAAATAGATATTCAAATGAAAACATATTCACTTTTTTCCCCTGATGTTTCAATCTGTTAATGACCCTAAGCTGCTTCTCACTGTATGACTCAGCGGCATTGAAAATGAACCAGAAAGAGAGAGAGAGAGGAGAGACAGAGACAGAGACAAAGAGAGAGAGAGAGAGAGAGAGAGAGAGAGAGAGAGAAACAGAGAGGGAGACAGAGAGAGACAGCCAAGTACTTCCAAGCACAGGGGCATTCCTTTATTTCCATAACACGTATTTATTAAGAGCTGTTCTGCATCCTGGAAAGTGTTTGCGGGGTGAGGGCAATCTCTCCCAGCCCCTATGGTACCAACAGCCTGGGAGGGCTGAGCTGTCTCAGGATATATCCACACAACCTTGAGTTGTCTGTAAAAATTTAAACTGCATAGCCTCCACCGCTGACTTCCAAATCAGAATCTCTGTTGGTATGATTCAGCAGTAGGCATGAACACTGAAAAGTTATTTGTATGCATATTCAGGATTTGGGGAGTACTGCTTTGGGCAGATGCATTGGACGGCGGTAGCTACTCGGTGTTAGGCTTTTAAGAATAAACTTAGCACGGCCCAGGTAGTATTTTCTAGATTCAAGGGTGAAGGCTGCCGTGACACATAATGGGAAGGGTCTGTATTTAGTGAGGCGGTCTCAGGCTTTGCTGTCTTACTGTTAATATCACAGGCGAAGCTGACAGCGACTGCAGAAGGAAAGAACAAGGAACCATCATTTCCATCTTCTCCTTTTATCTCCAACATCATAACTGCTCTTCACCAAGAATCAGAGGGAAAAGGGAGAAGGTTTCTCTTGCCGGAAATACAAATCCCAGAACCAATTTTTTTTTTTTCTCTCTCTCTCTCCTTTTGCTTTATCTGCCAGAAATTGTGAGGTCAAATTTATGCTCAACTCCAGGACCTGAATGTCTTTGTTCCTTTTGCTTCATGTGTCAGATTTGGCCTCTTTTATTTCTTTGTGGGGAGGTGGGGGGAACAGGAGAAATAAGTTCTAGTGTTCCATAGCACTGTAGGGTGACTATAGTTAAAAATAATATATAGTTTCAAATAGCTAGAAGGAGGAAATTGGATGTTTCCAACACAAAGAAATGATAAATGTTTTAGATAATGGATATGCTAATTAACTTGGATCTGATCACTGTATATTACATGTACTGGAACATCAGTATGTACCCCATAAATATGTACAATTATTACTTGTCAATTAAAGCTAAATAAATAAAATGTGGGGAGTACTTTATGCTGTGCTGCCTCAAATTGTCTTTAAGCAAAACTAATATTAAAACCTATATGAAGGCTGGGCACAGTGGCTCACGCCTGTAATCCCAGCACTTTGGGAGGCTGAGGCAGGCGGATCACCTGTGGTCAGGAGTTCAAGATCATCCTGGCCAACATAGTGAAACCTCGTCTCTACTGAAAATACAAAAATCAGCCGAGCATGGTGGCGCGGTCCTGTAGTCCCAGCTACTTGAGAAGCTGAGGCAGGAGAATAGCTTGAACCTGGGAGGAGGAGGTTGCAGTGAGCCAAGATCATGCCACTGCACGCCAGCCTGGGCGACAGAGGGAGGCACCATCTCAAACAAACAACAACAACAACAACAATAATAAAAGAATGAAAACCATATGAAGAGATCTATGAATATCTATATCTATTTATCTGTGTGTGGGATAAATTTACCATTTTAATCATTTTAAAATGTACAATTCAGTGGGATTCATTACATTCACAACGTTGTATAATTATCACCACTACCTATTTCCAAACCTATTCATCACTACAAACTATAACTCTAACTATTAAGCCATATGTCCCCTTTGGGGAAATATTTTCTATTTTTTGAGACAGGATCTCACTTTGTCACCCAGGCTAAAGTGGCGCCATCTCGGCTCACTGCACCCTTGAGATGCATTGGGCATCTCTAGCTCAAGCAATCCTGTGCTCAAACAATCCTCCTGACCCAGCGTCCCCAAGTAGCTGGGAATACACACTTGCGCCACTGCACCTAGCTAATTTTTGTATTTTTTATAGAGACAGGGTTTCACCATGTTGCCAAGGCTGGTCTCAAACTGCTAAGCTCAAGCGATCTGCCTGCCTTGCCCTCCCAAAGTGCTAGAATGACAGGTGTAAGCCAATATATTAGTCCATTTTCACACTGCTGATACAAAGACATGCCTGAGACTGGGCAATTTACAAAAGAAACAAGTTTAATGGACTTACCGTTCCACATGCTTGGGGAGGTCTCGCAATCACGGTGGAAGGTAAAAGGCATGTCTCACACGGCAGCAGACAACAGAAGAGAGCTTGTGCAGGGAAACTCCCCTTTTTAAAACCATCAGATCTCATGAGACTTATTCACTACCATGAGT